TTTATTGATTGACTCTTCTGGAGGAAACCTCTTTACTGGTGGGATTTCTGGTCAGTTGGGAAGACACCAAGTTCAGAGAAAGAGTTATTTTGTGACAAATTATATTCATATCATGACAAACAGGATGCTGCCTATTTGAGTGGTTGATTCAGTGTTACGGCCCTTTCCTAAGCATCTTTAAAAACGAGATAATATCTGAACAGTGAAGAGATGATGATTAACCTAATTAAGGCCACTTTATCCTTAAGGATTGGCAGATTCCATTACAGTGGATTCTGCAAACTAATGGAAGGAGAGTGGCAAAAGAAGTCATAGTGCAAAGCACTTGTAGTAACAGGTGTTCCCGGGTCTCAGGACTAGGCAGCATCTAGCTTAATGTTTGTCAGGATTTTATATCCCAAAGCTGATGTATAATCTCATAAACAGTAGTATACAGCTTTTACAAGAACACTATGTCACCATGGACCTGCTAAAAGTAAAAAATAATTACAACTTTATAGTGTAAGCAGGGGAAATTATACTTTATAGAAGGAGACTAGTGAGTGTCAACATATAAATTACTTTTTGAATTATAATTTTCCAAGTTTACAGGCTACTAGGTGTCGTAATGACGAATATTTCCACCACGGTAGGCTGACTGTTGATGAAGGGCCCCTCGAAGGAAGCAAGATAGAATGCTGTCTTTAATAGAAACTTAGCTTGCCTTTTTTGATGCAGGAGAACTATTTCCAAGGTCGATACATCCCAAATAATGTTCATTCTGTAGTTGCCTCATGAAACTGGAATATTCTTCTAGCTCTCCAAAATAGAAGTGGAGTGGAGAGAAAATACTCTGAATATCCCAAACTGCAAATTTAGTTAGAATTTTGATGTTTTAAAAAAATAGGGTAGATACTCTATACTCCTAACTTATTTTACGACCTTAAAGAGCATGCATCAGCCTTCATCTCTCTTCAGAATATGATAGAGATTTTTTTTTTTTTTTTTAAATACCTGAAAGTGAAGAAGACAGTCTTAGTGGGAGGGACATACTCCTAGGACTGGCTGTCGTTGTTGG